TTACAGACTCTAAGTCCCAATAAAATTTGAGATTATAAATTATCTCATCACATGATGAAAAAAGCAATCACACGGTGATACATCATGATTTCACGTGGAACAACTAATATGCGAATATGCACAATCATTTTAAAAAAAAATCAAAATCGTCTCTATTATCTTTTGTCTCTATCGATAATAATAGAATGTACGTACTTTTTTCTGGTACGTACGTACCACATGTCAAAAACCTGTAATGTAACCTTGTGAATCACGAGTTACATTCATAGTATTCATATTCAAATGCTAATTGTTCTTTTATATAATTGTTTTCTTAAAGTAATCGTTAAAATAAATAAATCAAAAATGATCTTATATTGTTAATGAAGAAATTTGATATTCTATATAAAATATGGTAATATGGTAAATAAGGGTTTTACGGTTATCATTATTTTGTGAGAACGTCATTTTTTTAAGGTGATTGTGCACGGATATATGCACGTGCATTTATACAAGGAAAAAAAAAAGCTCTTCCTGATTCCAGTTTTTTTTTTTTGTTCATTTAATTTCGTCGTTATTTAAAATACTGAGTTACTGTCATGTTTACAAACTCCTACGTCACAGAACAAACTCTTACGTATAACTGCATTTGCTGTGATACGTCATCAACTTTACAAACTTTTAATGAGTTGTTAAAAGTTAACTACGTCAATCGTTAGTATCATTTTCATTATTGAATTGTAAGAACCTCACGTTATCGGTCTAACTAAAATCTGATCTTCGAAAAAAAATATATATATATACGAAATATTGACACATCAGATCAAACAATTCATACAAGCCACTTTACATATTCTCAAGTAATTGATTGGTTTTTTTTTCGTTTGCGTGTTTTTCGAAATTTTCTTTCCTTTTTTTTTTGTCCTTTTTTTTTTTTTCTTGATCACACACGCGACGTAATAATTTACAGGACCTAAAATTCGGTCCTATCATTTATATATCTCAGAACTTTCCCCTCATTATAGGAAATAACACTTTCATTCCATCATCACCCAAGATTTATTTTATCATAAAATAGTATTATTCTATTTCTTTGTTATAAAGAAATGTCCAATTTTGAATTTAGACATCAAACAAGAAGTCAATTACGAAAAAAAATCAAGATTGGTAAAGAAGTTTCTCAATTATCATTCGTCAAACTGAAGAATATGGAAAGAGAACGTGGATTATGGAAATGTTTACTGATTGAAAGAACTTGTTCATTGACCGATTCCTTGCTTGAGAGTCTTGAAGAAGAAGGTAATTGTTTTAAATTATATATTTTATTTATTTATTTATTTATTTATACAATGTAAAATAAAAAAATTTACTTTTAAATAATTTTAAATTTTTTTTTATTATAGAATTATTTGGTGCTTTTACTTCTTCTTCAGATGACACGGATGATGATGATGACGAATACACAGATTCAGAAAATGAAAAACTTGAGTTCATTTTTGGTACTTGCGATGCAATTGAAGATCGAAATAAAGATACTGATGACGATTATGACGCAGATATTGATGATGATGGTGGAAGTATAAAAGATGATTCTTCCGATACTTTCTCAAGGAAACATGGACGCGAAGAAGAAGAAGAATTTAATATGCTATCGTCAAATTATGCCGATTCTGTATTTTTGAAAGATGAATCTTTGGAATCATCCGATGATATTTTGAGAAAGCATGGACATGTTGACGTATTGTCGAAAGAGGTAGATTCTGTTTCGTCTCTGCTTAAGAATTGCAAACGACAAAGGTGTTGCTAGATATGATATTGCTTCGTGCGAATTTATGTGATTGAAATTACATTATGTTTGATATGTATATATTATCTTGAAATTAGTTATTCATTTCTTTAGATATATTTAGCAAAATTATTATATTATTATCATTCTTGGATTTCGTACTGAATTTATGTTATTATGAGTTTTATCAATTATTGAAAATACATCATCATCTGGAATGCTGATTATCTTGGTATGTTATTAGTTAAAAAATCACTACCTCTGGTCCAAGTGGGATTCTAGCTTCTTAGAAATAATTATTTGAATTTAAAGTTTTTTTTTTTTTAAAAAAAAAAAAAAGAAAAAAAAGAAAGACTAGAATATTTGACAAGTGTTGGATGGGTTGAATAAGTGTTGAATGCGGATATCCTAGGATCAGGAAACGAGATTTATTACGTCAAAAAGTCATTTGCATTGTATGCGATGCAGACGTAATGGAGATTTCAATAACTGATAATTTTTGGTGGATCTTGCGCGATAATTTACAAAAAAAAAAAAAAAAAGACTTTTTAAAATATTTGATTATTCAATTTATTAGTAAATAGGTTTATGTGTGAGATACTTATGCTGTTATATATTTTATAAATACTGTAGTTTAATTATATAATAAGTTGTATCGTTCACAATCGAAAAATATTATTTATAGAGAACAATCTTAATGCAGTTCTTTAATAGATTATCTAATAAAGTCTTGTATAAATTGAAAATAACGTAATTTTATTTGACACGCAATGCATTAATCTAATGTGTTAATCT